TATAGTGTTCCTGCCTAAACCCAGAGAAGTGCAGTAGCGAAAACATGGCAATGAAAAGGAAAGTTTTAAGCAATGAAGAGAAAGTTAAAGTGATTCGTGAAATAGAAAATGGAAGGGAAAAAGCTGATGTATGCCGCGAATTTGGTTTGGTCAATTTTACAGTACAAACGATATGAGAAATAAAACAAAAATTATTAATGCATTTAAACAAAATGGGTCGAGAATAAAGCGATTGCGTAAGCCTGAACGGAGTGATGTCGATGAAGCGCTGCTTAAATGGTTTAAGCAGCAAAGAAGTGATAACGTACCAGTTAGTGGCCCTCTTCTTATGGTGAAAGCTGAAGAATTCGCAAAAAAGTTAAAGGATGAAGAATTCGTGTGTGGTGCTGGATGGACTGATAAGTTCAAGTTGCGTCACAACATTACGTTCGGTAAAGTGAGTGGTGCAGCCAGGGGTGTAAATACCGAAACTACAACTGAATGGCTTACTGCCGTGTGGCCCAGCATACGTAAAGGATATGCAGACAAGGATATCTTTAATGCCGATGAGACCGGCATTTTCTTTCGATTGACACCTGACAGGACACTGAAATTTAAGGGTGAGAAGTCTGTTGGCGGCAAGTTGTCGAAAGAGCGGATTACAGCTCTTGTTTGTGCTAATGCGACTGGAAGCGAGAAGAGGAAATTGCTTGTGATTGGAAAGTCAAAAAATCCTAGATGTTTTAAAAATGTGGAAAACCTACCAGTGCGCTACAGTGCTAACAAAAAATCGTGGATGACTTCTAGTTTGTTCGAAGCTGAACTCAGGTCTTGGGACCGGGAACTTCAAACAAGGAAAAGAAAGATCATCTTGCTTGTAGACAACTGTCCAGCGCACCCTGTACTTCAAAATCTAGAGAAGATTAAACTTGTGTTTATACCTGCAAACACTACAAGCGTATTGCAACCCATGGATCAGGGAGTCATAAGGAACCTGAAATGTCACTACCGCAAACTGATATTGTTAAGAATTGTAGAGAGCATCGAGAAGAAGCAAGATTACACAGTTACACTGCTGGACGCAATACGATTCATTGAAAAAGCATGGAGACGAGTAACTACAAAAACAATTCAGAACTGCTTCCGGCATGCGGGAATCTTATCAACTCAGGGATTGAATGGCACTGAGAATGAGGATGACACCAATAATGACGATGATTTACCTTTAACAGAATGGTTGCGTAAAGTCAATTGTGATGAACTAGGTCAGTATGACTATGAGGCATATGCAACAATAGACGACAACATTGTTACAACGGAGGCACAAACAGACGACGATATTGTATCGGAAGTGAAGAAGGATACAGAGGAGGAAGATGAGGAGGGAGGAGAAGAATGTTCCGAAGTCTCCATCCCTACTGTGAGTGACGCGCTTGAAGCCATTAGGGTTGTGAACTTGTTTTATGAATCCAGGGGAGGCAGCAGTGAAATTGTGACAAAAATTATGGACATTGAACGTAATTTAGAAAGTGTGTATTGGGCAAGTAACAGGAAACAGATGAAGATAACTGATTACTGTACTCGTATCTAGGTACAGTAAGGCACAACAATTGATGTAATCTACTGTAATTTGGTGAGTAGGCCTACCTTTAATATACAGTATTAGTGCGGTGTGTATTGTCAGTGAAAAGCGCTGTAATATGTCTTTGATATTACACATTTGTGCATTTCCGCGTTAATGTTACGTTAGTCTGTACTTAACTACGTATTTCATTAAAAAATGCAACTTTTTAACTCGGTTTTTGGTAGATTTTTACGTGACTAACATAAGGCTACTGTGGAAGTGCCCATTTCGGTTACAACGACATTCGTTTATAACGACACTATTTTTAGGTCCCTTTGATGACGCTATAACCAAGTTTTACTATATTGTATATAGTATATACACAGAGACAGTATGATGTAGACAGCATTCCAGACACTACATCTTCGAAACGTATTGTGACGTACAGACACATTGCTGGGAGATGGCTCTGTATACATAAACCGTTGCTATGAAGCGCCCGAAGCTTACGCGTGCACGGTGACGTCATACAATAATGATGCAAGTGCTGTTTTCTCTAGATCCGTTCCGATGCTAGATGACTCGACCGACCGTGTTTTGCTGAGCGAGTGAGTGCAGTGCACTTGAGGGTTCAGCCATGTAGTGTTAACCAGGGGGCAAAGGAAATTTAAGAATTTCAATTGCTAAGGTTCGTTACCACGAAGTATCTAGTGAAAAACATTGCAGAGGAATAGCCACTGCGGAGAGCTGTTACCAAGTAATGATTATTGGAAATTGACTGAGAAGACTTAGTGAAGTGATTTGCAGTGTGGAGTTCAGCAAGAAATTTATAATTATTTGTAGTTAAGTCCTGTAAGCGGTCATTAAATCCATTCACCAATCCAAACCCAGTCTATAGTCATTAGTACACATAACAATATTTTTTGAAGATCACTGTACTTTACTCACTTCCAACTAGTGCCGAGGCGAAGAAAATGTGGATCTATACACCCACGCCCCCATACGCCTTCATGGCTTAGTGTTTAATTAGTTAAGCACAGGGACAACTTTACGTTTTACCTCTACCATGGTACTTTTTCGTATAATGTGGGAAATTAGAACTATTTTCACTATAAATATTGGATACAAAGTGGGACTCCGCCGTACAGTCTGGCACATAACCACGCACCAATAGTGGTACAACTGTACAGCAGATCGCGAATCGTGTCACTCAGGTAATGTTGCACTAGTCACTTGAACCTCAGCGAAGCTTAAGCCTTCGTTTGGTTCTGTGTTTAGAACGTGGTTTTGAATTACTTCCGCGTGATGTCTATGCAGTTTTGTGATGAATTCATTCACCTATGACAGTTTAGAAGCCACAAGTCACGGATCGGTGTACGCCTTGGACGCGTACCAGTGGTGCAGAAAACTGTTTTTCACGTGTTGCAGTTAGGCCACGCGGAGAGGCCAGGCCGAGCCCGGAGTTGTGAGCGAACCAATAGGAGTAAGACGAACGTTCATAACATTTGGTGCATGGCCGGGGACAGTAGGTAGCGTAGTTGGTTGAGGCACTATGCTACAATCTGCAAGGTCGCAGATTCGGCTCCTGATGAGTTCATTGGATTTTTCAATTGTCCTAAACCCTCCAACTGCATTATGGCCCTAGGGTCAACTTAGCCTCTAACAGAGAAGTGTCCCAGGAATATTCTTGGGGATAAGGGACGGCCGTCGCATAGTAAGGCTGACAACTTCACCGCCATCTATGAGCTGATTTTATGGAAAATGTAGGACGCCCGACGTCTCAACCTTATGGGCATCCATGGCCTGTTATAGGGATAGCTTTAACTTTACGTACCTTTACCTAGTGCATGGACAATAGCAGAAGGAGGAACTAGGCATTTGCCCCCATATCGATTTTGAGAAAAGACAAAACTGGAAGGGAAGGCTATATAGCCAGTATTACCAATATAAGGCCGTTTTTAGCGCCCTCTATGATTTCAATATAGAGACTCATATCTTTGGGGACTTCCGCGAGGCGTTGTTAAGTGTCTTGAACAAAAGCTTGTATGAAAATTTTTTTGTTACCCCCGTCTGTCCTTCGAAAAGGAACAATACCTGGCAAAAAATCTGATGCTCTTAAACCAAGCACCAATGGAATACATGTCTAGATCAGTCTGCCCGGTGACCAGGTCTGAAAACACGGATTTAAGGTTCTCACAGCTGTGGCTTTAAAGAATTCTATCTTGTGGTATATAACCAGGGGCGGCCCGTGTATAGGCACCGCGGAACTGCAGCACCCCCAATTTCCACTTGATATTATCGATAACATTTATATAATGAGTCATTTTTCCTTTAATTCTTTCTTTATACTTGTACAATACAGTATATAATCCTTAAGCTTAATGTCAATAGCCAAATCTTTGTACGGAACTGTGCGCTTCTGGAGCAGCACCTCCACTAATTTTAGCTACGAGCCGCCACTGGATATAACGCCGTGTAGTCCGGTTAAGGTCAACAGACGTTTCAGAGAAATATGTCCTATATAGTGGAAGAATAATCCAGGCAAGAAACCAGCGTCAAAGCCCTGCTTTTATGCTGGTTTCTTGGAGGTGACATGTTCCTCCGAAACATCGGCTGATTTTCAACGAAGTACACGGCGTTATGTCCCAGAAGATAGAACTCCTAATGCCGAGTTTATAATTCCTCCTCACCAATTGGCTTCTCTGATTCACAGGGCGACTGTAAAGCTTCGTAGCGATAATTCCATAGCAACAGTTACGCAGGTGGGCTCTGTTTGAGAGCTGACGATGACCATGCAAACGCGGCAGGCAGGCCGTAGCGTTCAGGTCATAAATCTTGGGGCCTGGATCACTGAGCATCAGCTGTCAAACCGTGAAGACAAATGACTGAGCTGTAGGCATCGCGCTTAGCCACTAGCTGGAAGCGGCTGCATCCACACCTCTGCCAGTATTACAATATTATGAATATTTAGAATTCCTATCCAAGCCCACGGGCGCTACTGAAACACCTCTTCGTTTACGGAATCGATTACCAAGCCAATATCCATGGTCGTCACTTTTAGCTTCTCAGACTCAGTGGTTACCACCTGCTTTGATAGCGCAGTCGGTATAGCGACTGACTGCGTGCTAGACGGCCGAGGGTTAGAAGTTCGAGTCCCGGTAGAGTCAAGTTGTACAGACCGGCTGCGGGTTCCACCCAAATTCCTATCCAATGGGTAACTGGGGCTCTTTCCCAGGGGTAAAGCGACCGGGTCGTGAAGCTTACCATTCATCTCCAACTAGTGCCGAAGTGAAGAAAATTTGTATCTATACATCCACTCCCCCATACACCTTCATGACGTAGCGCTTAATTAAGCACAGGGACAATTTTTCCTTTTCCCTTCCTGCTTTATACCTCGGCCTTCCATCCCGTGATACCGGAGGTAAAGCGGCCGGGGCGTGAAGCTGACCAATCACCTCTATTAGTGCCGAGGTCAAGAATACGTGGATCTATACTGTCTTGATAGTGTGCAACCTGTTGTGTGTTATGAATAAAGTATATAAAGTTATATAAGGTATACCCTCTACACAATAATATTCTGGATTTAAAAACAAAGGAGAAACCACTGTATCAATATTTGATTTTATTATGCTCTTACAGACGCTACATGTTTCGACCCTTACACTGGGTCATCATCAGGCGTACAATGCTCCAATATGAGCTGATGAATTGAAATTAATTATCATCTAATTTTTCAAATAAGGATCCTTATTGTGTCTTGAAATTATTGAAAGGCATAGATACATGTATTTAGTTTGGGCCAAAATTTTCAAAATTGAAAGTCCTTAGATAATAAAATTTAAAATTAAAAATATAAAGATTAAAATTAGAAACTAAAAATTGAGAAATGAAATTTAAAATTCTGTTTTTGTGGTAAGACTCTGCAAAGAACGCGCCATAGCTCAAGCGGTTAGTCACTGGCTTCCCACCGCGGCGGCCCTGGTTCGATTCCGGGTCTGGTCAAGTGGGATTTGTGGTGGACTGGGGCGGGTTTTCTCCGAGTACTTCGATTTCCCCTGTCAGTCTTCATTTCACCAAATTATCCATCATCATAATCACCCGGAGCAGGCTACAGTAGTCCAATCAGTGGCCGCCGTGCCGAGTGGACCCAGTTGGACTCCACCCCCCACTAAGAGAATTAAAAAAAAAAAACACTCTGCAGCCGCTACGTGTTGGTCTCGTTTTTATGCCGGTAGAAGGGGCTGTAGCGTGGGGAGCCCGCGTATCAAAATTTTCTTACTTTGGGTAGGTCATGTAGTCATGTAGACGTAAATTGGACAGAACGTGCTGCTGACCACTTCCCTCCGTCTAGTGCACAGTTTAAGAATGCATGGAGCCATACCTACATCCTTACTGTGTGTTGCTTTATGAACAACAAAATCAATCTTACATTCTGGTATATTATTCTCGCCTTGTGCTTGTGTTTTCGTGATTCTCAGAAAGCAGTGATGATTTTTCATAAATAGCATTAACCTTATCTTCTCCATAATGTACAGACCGGCTCTGGAGTCCGGGAGTTCTTTCTCTGGGGTAAAGCAGTCGGAACATGAAGCTGGCCACTCAACTCTATCTAGTGCCAAACTCAAGAATGGTGGAACTGTACCTCCACTCCATCATACATCTTCATGACGTGTTGCTTAAGCACAGGAACTTTACCTGTTTATTTAAACAGCGTCAATTGGTCGGTCTTTTAATAGAGAAATATTTTGTTTACTGCGTGTTATGAACTGATTTTTATTTACAATCTAAATTAATTTTGATTAAATGTTAAGCGGTTACAAAATTCTGAGCTTCTACTACATGCTTTTCATGCAGCCTTTCCGATTTTAACCTTTAACCCTAAATTAGCACTCGCACCCCCTGTGAAACTTCGTCCATTTATTGAAATTCGCATTTCGAAAGCATCCGCCTGTTCCCCTTATTTGAACACTACCTCTTTCGGCCCAACATCAGACCCATAACATGTGCATACAACAA